GAGTTATCTGATAAAATACTACGGATGTATTCTCCTAGCTTTTCTAAGTCATGTGCGTGTCTAATATTCGGATCAGAGTCGTTTGACTCCCGCAATTTACCCACAATAATATTCGATGTTATTAGATTTTCCTTCTAAGTCACGCCAGGATGGGTTTCACTCTTACCATCAGATTTTAGTAGTACAATTTATGGCTCACAATTTGAGTCCACCAGTGAGTTACTAACCACCTGTGTACTGCCTACAGCTTTTTTCCTTTTCGTTTCGTTTCCTACGTACCGTAGTCCATTTTTCATCCCTCATAACACTGGGACTATTTGGAACGGTGACTGTTTTATCCAGATCTTCGGTTCCCACTAAAGGTGCATTATTAACAATGTCGGTACCAGGTGGTACTACTCCCCCTGTTAATGTCAACGGAGATTTCACTTTTACGTCTGTCAGAGTCGGTTGTTTGAGGCGTCGCGTAACAGCAGGTACTACACTGACACATTCGTCACTGTCAGTACCCGTGTTGTCAGCGCATATGCCATCGTTCTTCTTACAGGCCAAAGCCGATAGGCTCATAGCCTCCTGTATTAGTAATGCCTTGTTGGCACAGCAAAACATGCAAAGCCAATGTGAGTAAGGCTTCGAATATCTTTTGTATGCGGTGGGACTTAAACGGGTGCACATTTTGTGGAACCACTTATTGCATTCGTCACACTGCATTCCCTCTTCCTCAGGGAACAAACACTGGTTGTCCACATTTGTGAGTACTACCGACCATTTTAGTCAGATCAAGGTGTAACACACAATATGATCACAGTATGAACACAAATGTCAGTCAACGAATAAAAGGTTACCACAAGACAAACTTTAGCAAGATTTTAAACCTTAACTAAAGTACTTTGATACAGACCAAGAATGCTTTCGAATGTAATAAATACACAAAAGCCAAAAAACGCAATAGAATATCACTTTAATTGCAGTTGATTCCATTAAAGTGCAAATCTAAGTTTTGATACGTAATTTACGATCAAAACAGTTAACTAATTCAACGAGAAACAACACCACTGTCCTTTTTAGTTAGAGCGCGTCTGTACTAGCCTCGAATTCCTTTCCTTCATGTGAGCTTACTTCAACTTGTTAAGCGACACAACTCGTTGTTCTTTATTACTACATCCTCTAATATGGAGCCTCTGACTTCATTTCACTCTAACAAGAGATAATATAAATTCGTTATACCTCTGTCCGTTCTACTACACAATGTTAAGTAATGTTTGGCGTTCATATCCAAGTGCCTTGCTGCTCTTCTGTTCCTCTTTTTTTCTTCTTCAGAAAATTGGTCTCTGGGTACAGCTATGAAAATTCTGACGTTTGGAACAAACTTGACGTACGCGTTCCCTCAAAGTCACGGTTAACAGCAAGCGCCCTACGAGTATACTTCATAACAACTATAAACTTAATAAGTTAAGAAGCATTTTGTGAACCAACAAATGTTGTAATTTATAGATCATGCCTGTATAAATTGCGTGTACCTGCACATGCTGAAATATATATTATATATATATAAGTGTTACAACTTCGTACAATACACTCACCCCTCACGTTTCACTGTACTTTACCAAGTATAGTACGATTTATCAGAAGGGGTTTTGTGGAGATTTTATAAATTTCACTGGTTGGAATCATGTGTCAATTGAAGCCTAGACCACCATGGAAAACCTGGGAGCACTGTACGACCGTTTTGTCCTATTGTGGAACTCCTCAGCAGTGCGCATCCACGACCTCGGCCCCTGCGAGATTCGAACCCAGGCCCTAGTGGTTTCGTGCGCGAGCACTTAACCACTAGACCACTGAGCCGGCATCCAACGTGGTTAACGTCTAACTTCAACCAATCTACGAAATTGCGTGACCGTCACCATTGTCTTCAGTGAGCTGGTATCTCAAACAGACCTGGTTGAACTCCACGGGTAACGGCTTCTCACTAGAACTCCAGGAGTGTATCTTGAAGTCAGTCACTAGTTGGCGGATGAGTCCCATACTAGGACGAGACGGCTGTCCAGTGCTTCCAGGTTTTCCATGGTGGTCTCGCTTCAAATGACTCATGATTTCAACCAGTGAAAGTTCTGAAATCTCCACAAAACCCCTTCTGATAATAATCATCTGCTCACTAGTGACTGACTTCAAGAGACACTCCTGGAGTCTAGTGAGAAGCATGTAGCGTGGTGTCGAGTCGAAATTGACTATGAACACCGCTTCCAAAAAGCACGTGCCAAAATATCCATTAAATCCCACGGAAGCCAAATATCAGAAGACAGTTAATGGACCAAGTCGAGATATATTTGCTGGCGATCTCGTGGTATCGAACAAATACCAAGATCGTGCCAGGAAATGGTACAAGCGGAAGCAGGAGAAAGGAGTACATGCGAACAGTACAAAAAACCGCGGAACAATGATGAAAGATAATGGAAGCACGAAATGGCTATAATTAGCACAGTTAAGCAAAAGCACATTAATACAAGCACTGGTACAGTTGGTTATAATAATAATTGTTTTTATTAAACCAGTCGTGTTCTCGTGATAAAAGTGAGTCACTACACGAGCCCCCGCTAGAAAAGGTTTAAACTTTCGATAGGTAGCGGCTTACATCTTGGGACTGATCGGCTGACGAGCGGTTGTAGGACGGAAGGATTGGAGAAACAGGAAAGCGATCGTTGATTGTCGAGTTGCCAACGAAGGTCGTTTTCGGAGAACGGTACCAGTAGCGATGTGCTGTATTTGTTGCTTGAGTTTGCATGTCACACGAGAGTGGTTTGTATCCAGAATCTGAAGATTGCGTTCGTAGGAAATGCGGACCAGAAACACTGCAGATGTAGGACGAAACCACGTTTAGCCAAAAGACCAGAAGCGACCGTAACGACCAAGCTCGAGACCAAGCGTATGCCAAGCATTCGAAACCAATATATCGACTGAGTGCGTTGACAAGAGCGTGGGTGGCCAGTCCAGCTTTCGCCAAAGTTGACTGAAGTTGACGGAACCAAACTGAGATGGCCGAAGGCGTGGGCTCAGGAAACAAAAAGAAAATCAAAAAAGAGAAGAGTGCAGCATGCGTGTAGTATAGGAATAATCCTACACAGTATCGGTTGTTGACTGTGCGACTATTCGCGGGAGCGTTCGGGTAACCGTACCTGGTGACCAGAACGTGAGATGGCAGTCTCGTTCGCGTTGCGTGAGCCTGCAATCTCATACGAAGTTAAGGGCAGCGTGGTCTGCTGATCTGGACGTGAGACTGACGTCTCGTCCGTAGACGGTGCAGATGACACGTGCTGTTGACTGGGACGTGGTAATGAGGTCTCAGGTGTATCTAGCGTGGGACCTGAAGATGGTTTGAGGATCTCGCTAGTAGGTTTCATAGATCTAGCATTGAATCTCAGGTTATCAGATAGGGCACTGCCATCGACGTGTGCTGGATTGAGATGATCAATGCTGACGAGCACGACGCGGCCATGTCGATCAACCTTGAAGGTCTTTTCGTGACGAGCGATCACGCGAAAAAAGCCTTCGTAAGTTTGTTGCAAAGGTTTGCGTACCGAATCTACTCGTATGAAAACATGTGAACAGGTAGATAACTCTCGAGGGAGAGCGACCTGTCGATGTTGTATTCGAATTGACACCAGAGACAGCGTTCGCATAAATGCAGACAGTCGATGGACGTAGTCTGATTTACCGAAATTAGGTCTGCTCCGTGGTGTGAAGAATTCTCCGGGCAGACGCAATGTCGTGCCGTATACAAGTTCAGCGGCGGAACATTGGATATCTGCTTTCAAACTCGCTCTGATACCCAAAAGGACGAGTGGTAAGGTTTCGTACCAGTTGTTGTTTTCGTGTGCTCGAAGAGCACTCTTAAGTTGGCGATGAAACCTTTCAACTAAACCATTGGATGCTGGGCGATATACGGCAGTGAGTATGCGTTCCGTATCAAGCAGCCGGATCAGCGAGGAGTATTATTCTGATTCGAACTGTTGTCCTCGGTCAGTCGTGACAGTCGAGGTACAACCATACAGCTCTATTCATCGTTCCACGAAGCGGTAAGCAACTGTCTCTGCCGTAATAGACGTGATGAGAACAGTTTCGGGCTATCTTGTGAAACGGTCGATGCACGTGAGTATGTGATTTTACCCGTGCGATGGTGGCAGTGGTCCTACAATGTCTAGGTGAACGTGATCGAAGCGAGCAAGAGGCGTAGCGAATATACCAAGGGGGTGGCTATGTGCCTGTGCACTTTTGATCGTTGACATTGTAAGTATTGCTTTACCCACAAACGGACATCATTATTCGTGGACGGCCAGACGTATCGTGCAGCAATGAGGTGTAATGTGGCTGCGATACCTGGGTGAGATAATCCATGCAGGGCATCGAATACGAGACGACGGTAAGCAGAGGCTACGATAGGTCGGGGAAAATCAGTGGAAGTGTCACACAGGATAGTACCTGAGTTAGTGGCTAGGGGTACTTCCCGGCACTGAAGGGATGTAGAATGTTACGCTTCTGTACAGGAGGGATCACCTTCTTGAGCGGCAGCCATGCCAGGCAGACCAAGCACCAGCAAAGTAACCGCATTCACTTGGACACGTAACAGGGCATCGGCAACATAGTTCGACCTGCCTTTAACGTGACGAAGGCCTGCCGTGGACTGGGAGATATGGTCCAAATGTCTGCAATCTTGTGGTGAGTAGCGGTCAAACTTGGTGTGCAGAGCATACATTAAAGGCTTATGGTCGGTGAATAAGATGAATTGACGTCCTTCTACTGCGTGCCGGAAATGTTTGATGGCGCAGTAGGCTGCTAGCAGCTCGCGACCAAAAGCGCTATATCTCGTCTCCGTGGGAGTAAGGCGTCGTGAGAAAAACTCTGGGGGTTGCCAACTGTAAGATCCATTTTGAGTGCCTTGTGTGTTTGTGAAAATCCCTCCATGTATATACTTACACTTTGTTCCTATTGATTCTTTTAGTTGTACATTGTTAACTTTTTGACTACATTTGAATTGTTAATATTTGTATTTTATTATAGTTTCGTTTTTACTACACCTTCACCAATTCCCCATGTTTCTTCCTGAACTGCACTTATGTTGTTTTACTTCATACTAGCTCTGGGCGGCAGCCATTTTGGTTTATCCCTGCCTTTGATTGCTTGACCTGTGTTGACTGGAATTGTGCATTTTGGTTGTGAATTGAAGCACTCTTCCAGAATTGAAAACACTCTGTGTTATAGAGCGACCAATTATTACCTTTTGAACGAATCTGTACGTGATCTATCCAGTCAGGATAGAATAACATTTATTTGTGGTGATTGGTAATTTTCTTGCATTCTTTATCAACTTTCTTATTTATTGTAGTTTAGATTTGATCAATTAAACAATTATTGGTTGGATAGCTGTGTGGTTATATTTGTTTAGGTAATGATGTATACTTAAATTTATGATAAATTATAGAACCGCTATCTTACCCAATTACCTTGTTCTGATTTCAAACGGGCAAGGGCGCGTATCCAACTTATCCAAGCAGCTGTCCAGCAGTCCAAACGTGGTTTGGATCCTATAGTTCTAAACAAATATTACTTGGCCGAAATCCTTTGGTAATCGTTCACGGATTTTCTGGAAATAATTGGTCGTGTCGCTTATAATGCCAGTTAATCGTCGAAGGAGATCAGGCTCAAAGTTCGTCGATGTTAACGAAGAATCTCCTATTGTCAAGCAAGTGCCTTTTGACGTCCTTAAGGGTCATGGTTCGGACTTAAATAGGGTTAATTATCATGGCAGTGATTCGAGTCTTAATTCGATGTCAGATGATGTAAAAAATCTTAGTTTAAAGGAGGAGCAAAGGTCTGAATTACTAGGAAAGAGCATGTTGCCTATAGTCCATGTTGTTGTCCCAGAGCTACCTAAGGTTGAACTGAGTTATTTCGATGGAGAGCCAAGAGGTTACTGGAAGTTTATAAAGCAATTCGAGACGTATGTAGCCTCAAGAGTCACGGATGATAGCCAGCGCTTACTCTATTTGATACACTACTGTAAGGGCAAGGCTAAAACAGCTATTGAAGGTTGCGTCATGATGGAGGCATCCTCTGGCTATAAAAGAGCAAGGGAGATTTTAAAACGTTTTTTCGGACAGCCTCACGTAATTGCTCGAGAAACACTAGAGGACTTATTCAGTGCTGTGAATTTTGAAAATATTGACGGGGACCAACTATTAAACTTGGTTATTAAAATGGAAAACTGTGCCATGGTCTTGAAACAGATGAATTATACTTCTGATCTAAATTCCTTAGTTACCTTGGAAAGAATAGTGAGACTCTTGCCTCAACCTATGCAAGCCCAGTGGGCGGACTGGGTGGATAAATTGACTGATGATAACAGAGAACCGACCTTCGACGAGCTCACTCAGTTTATCGCATCGCGTGCGAGAGTGGCTTGTAGTAGATTTGGACGGTTAGCAAACCGTTCTAGAAAAGGACATAACGTAAAGACGAACTGTCACGTGCAATCAGAGCAAGGGAATAGTTCGACAATGAAAACTAAATGTAGTATGTGTTCCTACGACCATGCCATTGATAAATGTCCACAGTTCTTAGCGCTTACAGTTCAAGACCGATGGTCTCACGCTAAAAGCAAGGGTATCTGTTTCATCTGTCTTAGACAAGGACATAAGGTTAATGAATGTAAGATGACAAGGCTCTGTAAAGTTGACAGTTGCGAGAGGAGACATCACGCTCTGCTGCACACTGACTCGACAAGCAACGTCGTAAATGATAAGCCATCATGCCCGGAATATAGAAAAAGAGTTGTTAATCATACCAGTAAGATACAGACATTAGAGAACGAAATACGTAAGCCTTATGACGTAGAGTTTTCAGATGCTTATTCAAGTGATAAATCATTATCAGTAGACGACAAGGTGGCTATAAAGATTGTGGAAGGTGGCACGCGCTTCGGCGACGGTCATTTTGTAGTTTCTATACCTTGGAAAAAGATTCCAGATATGAAAGTGAATAATTATGAAGTACCAAACCGTAGATTACAAAGTTTGAAGGGTATGTTGTCGAGGGATGTCAGTCTGCACATCAAGTATATCAAAAGTACTGAAAGTGATTTTACTAAGACTTATGCGGAGAGGGTCTTTGAAATATATCTGCAGTCTTATTATCATCCTCGATGGTATTTACCTCATCGTGCAGTATTAAACATGAAAAAACCAGATTTTAGAGTGGTCCTTGATTGTGCCGCCCAGATTGCAGGGGTTCCCCGAAATGATATGATTTATCAAGAACCCGATACCACCGCTGAGTTAATGTGTATATTATTAGGTTTTCGCAAGGAGGCAGTTGCAATCCCTGCAGATGTTGAAGAAATGTTCATGCAAGTGAATGTCCCTGAGTCTGATCGAAGAGCTTCAAGATTTCTGTGGTGGCAGGAGGGGGACATGTCGAGAGAACCGTCTGAGTTTCAAATGACAACTCATGCATTTGGTGCCACATCATCGCTGTTTCGTGCGAACCTTGCCTTGAATAAGACGGCCCAAATATTCTCTGACGATTATGATAGTTATGTCGTAGATACTGTCAAGAATAATTTCTATGTTGATGATTGCTTGATATCTATTCCCACTTGTGATCAGGCAAAGAGTTGCGTTAAGCATATAAGTGGATTATTATGTAGAGGAAGTATACAAAAAATGACCGATCTTGAATCATGGTTCAAATGTCCTACTCTATTGCATGGCGAATTTTATATAACAATCACTGACTGTCCGGAACCTACTCTTGACGATATTGAGTTTAGAAAAACTGCTGTGGTTAACTTGAGTAGTATAAAGTACAACAAGACACCTGTTCTCTTTTATTATTCCGAGTGGTTGAAATTAGTCAGAGCTGTAACCTGGTTTAAAAGGTTTATCGAATTCCTGATGGTACTTCGTTTGCCGAGTTGTGAAGGATCCGTTCATCTAGGATGTTTAAAGGTCAAAGAGCTTGAGATTGTCAAGCGTAAGATTTTATTGATGGTTCAGAGAGAAGTGTATGGAGAATTACTTAGTGAATTTAAGAACAGCAGTAAAGTAGTAAGCCATGATGATCTGAAAGGTTTATCGTTGATGATGCTTGATGGGTTACTCTGCGTTGGAGGTCGACTAAGATACTCAGATTTCCCAGATGCTTTTAAACATCCAGTAATTTTACCCAGTCGACACTTAGTGACGGAAATGATAGTTAGACATTGTCATAAAGAACAAGGACACATAGGAAGATCATTAGAAAAAGGGTATGGATATGTGTTTACTTGTTTGCAAACATGGGCAGTACATATTGAAATGATGTGTAGTTTGATTACTGATTCATTTTTAATGGCTCTATTACGTTTTATTGGAAGAAGAAGGAAACCTCCGGAGATATACAGTGACAGTGCGTCAAGCTTCGTGGTGACAGTTTCTGAGTTAAGCAAGTTGGTGCAGCAGTCGAATCAGAAGATAAACATTGAATTGTCAGCGAAGCGCTCATCCAACAGCATGGGTGGAGTTTGGGGAAGAGTGATTAGGTGTATATCACGACTGTTATTGTTGATCACCAGAGAACAGGTGAAGCAGGTCTCCTTGAAGCTTTGGATTAGTCTTTGTTGTTATTAATGTAGTTAGGTCGAGTAGGCGTACTGTTGTAAGTCCTACTCGTTCCTATGGTGTGGTATGTTATATAATGAACCATGACCGTAGGCGTCAAGGTAGCTTGTGTGATATGGAGGGATTTTGGGGGCCGGTGTAAGATCCATTTTGAGTGCCTTGTGTGTTTGTGAAAATCCCTCCATGTATATACTTACACTTTGTTCCTATTGATTCTTTTAGTTGTACATTGTTAACTTTTTGACTACATTTGAATTGTTAATATTTGTATTTTATTATAGTTTCGTTTTTACTACACCTTCACCAATTCCCCATGTTTCTTCCTGAACTGCACTTATGTTGTTTTACTTCATACTAGCTCTGGGCGGCAGCCATTTTGGTTTATCCCTGCCTTTGATTGCTTGACCTGTGTTGACTGGAATTGTGCATTTTGGTTGTGAATTGAAGCACTCTTCCAGAATTGAAAACACTCTGTGTTATAGAGCGACCAATTATTACCTTTTGAACGAATCTGTACGTGATCTATCCAGTCAGGATAGAATAACATTTATTTGTGGTGATTGGTAATTTTCTTGCATTCTTTATCAACTTTCTTATTTATTGTAGTTTAGATTTGATCAATTAAACAATTATTGGTTGGATAGCTGTGTGGTTATATTTGTTTAGGTAATGATGTATACTTAAATTTATGATAAATTATAGAACCGCTATCTTACCCAATTACCTTGTTCTGATTTCAAACGGGCAAGGGCGCGTATCCAACTTATCCAAGCAGCTGTCCAGCAGTCCAAACGTGGTTTGGATCCTATACCAACTACCGGAGATGTTTTGTTGCATGACTGCCCATATAGCAACATCGGATGCATCAACCGCTATACTAAGCGTGGCTGATGGATCGGGATGGGCGAGAAGAGTGGCTTGCGCAAGAGCCGTTCTGATTTCAGTGAATGCACTGCGTGCAGAATCGTTCATTTCTAATCTGCGTGGGTTGCCGCGAAGTAAGTTGGTTAGTGGTCGTAACCGGTCTGCTGCGTGTGGGATGAAACGTCGATAGAAGTTAACCAAACCGAGGAATGCCTTTAGTTCCTTGAGTGAGGACAGCAAGTTGTACTCCCTTATTGCACGTACTTTGCCCTCGCAAGGTTAAATACCCTCTTGCTTAATGACGTGACCCAAGAACATTATTTCCGGTTTGCCTAATTCACACTTGTCCGGGTTGACTACCATTCCATTATCCGAAAGACGTTGGAATAAGAGTGAAAGATGTTGATAATGTTCATCTACGTTTGATGATGCGATTAGCAGGTCATCAATATAGACGTAAACCAAATCTAAGTCTCGTATTATGCTATCGATAAACCTTTGAAAAGTTTGAGCAGCATTCCGTAATCCAAATGGCATTCGTAGGAACTCAAACAAAACAAAAGGAGTCGTGACAGCAGTTTTTTCGACATCTTCAAGAGCGACTGGGATCTGATGATATGCTCATACCAGATAGATCTTAGAAAAGATAGTCGTGCCCTTGGGTGATGCCGTGATGTTGTGTATTGAGGGAATTTTCGAAGTAAAGCGTGAAATATAACATCACGCGAATGAAATACGCCTAAGATTCGGTATGCGTTTGTTCGAGCTTTAAAGTGCATGAATTTACTGTTTGACAAAGCATCAACTAGCTGCAGCCTACGTGAATTGACTAGCAGTTCATAGTTCTGTAGGAACTCAATACCGAGTAAGGCTGTGGGAACATCGGCAATGATGAACGACCACAGATACTGTCGTCGGTTGCCCAGGTTAACCGTAAGCTAGATAGGTAGGAATGACTGGGCCATTCTCAGTGCGTATTCAAAGCATTGTAGCTTGAGACTTACTGTCACCAATAGGCACGACAGAAACTTGGGCACATGTATCTACTAGGTACCTAGTAATAGTGTGATGATCATGCACATAAAATAAACGGCAAACCTGAGGTGTAGGGCCGGCGAGTACGACTGCATTTACTCGCCGGCCCGGGATTTTCCCACTTTGTAGGAGCACGGGGCTCGACAACGGCGGGCACCGGACCCGAAAGAGCGGTGAAACCAGCACCAACCCGCATTCGCTTCCGAAGACGCCTTTTGGCGAGGCTTGGAAGATGCCTTCGTTGGGCGAGTGGTTACGGCCTTCCCAGAACGTGATTTGGCTCGGGGGACGTTGGGATCTAGCACATCGGAACGTTCTCGAAAACTGAGATGGGCATGAATGAAGCTACTCTTATCACCCTGAGCCAAAAAGCGGCTGGCGTCGAGGTCTTCAGTCGAGCGTGACGTTGAGGCAACTATATAGTTGTCTCGGGTGATATCCCTTGCCAATATCTTATCTAATACGAAGGGCACCTGGTTATGTGGTGTATCCTCAGGCAGAGCCGTAGCCGTTGGTTGTATATTTGCTGGTAGTAATTCGAGGCATAATTCCTTAACTATTTGAAAACCGGTTGTAGCGGGTCCTGCTAAAGTCTGCAGGCGCGTGAGGTGGTGTTTCAGTTTAACATCACCCAGGGGGTGACGTGCTAATAATGTTCTCAATCGTTCCTCCCTCGACGGGAGGAAATGTCTGACAATCGCCGCTTTGAGATGATCGTAAACGTTAGGTTCATTCGGGTTGAGGACAACCTCACGAACAGCAGCTATGTGATCCCCAGGTAGAGTTTCCAGAGCGTGAGCATACTTCTGCCGTTGATTCGTTTTGCGGCGGATCTCGAATTGAGATTCCAGTGCCGCGAACCATACTTCTGGATCATGGGGAATAAATGAGACAGGTCGGAAATTGATGGACCGTACATCTGAGTCTATTATATTATCGTTATCAACCAAATCAAGCTGTTGCCCGTATATTATGTGTTGAAAAATATCAATACGAAAATGTGCAACAAAAGTGGATAGATGGATAATAGACTCACCATGGTAATATTCTTCGGGAGATTTTTCAGAGGTTGAAACCTGTTCACAGTTTTGACTCACCAGATGTAGTGTAGCGTCGAGTCGCGGTTGACTATTATCACCACTATAGGAAGACAACGTACCAGTTACCAGGTTAGATCCCTCCGTAGGCCAAATATCAGGAGGCAATTGAAGGTTGTACTAAGATGTATTTTTTGGTAATCTCGTGCCAACGTTTACAAGCGAGACTACTAAGCGTACACGGGTTCGTGCAAGGTCACAGACCACGAAAGAATGTGTGCTCTTAGTACACTTAAACAAACAGATACAGTAAAACAATCACTGGTTCAACTGGTTATAATAATAATTGTTTCCATTATACCACTCGCGTTCTCTTCATAAAAGTAGGTCACTACAACAACTCTATGATCGAGAATCCCATACCGAGTAAAATCATACGTCCAGAATATAGTATTTCGAAGATATATGCAAAGTCTGTTAATTCGTTAAGAAGTATGTGTGCTAAGCCGACTAGTTCTTGTGAGGGATGCGTAATAGTGAGTGTTCAATAATGATCTGGAGCGGGTGCGTGACCGAGTTTCTTTCGGTAGGAAGATGGCACAGGTATTCAGTGTTTGACAACGCTTTAACCAGTAAAACCTTCTAATATGAAGCGTCCCCACCAAGAGAAATCAAAAGACAGAATCGAGGAGATCGGAAGATATATTGGATGTGATATCAATATATCGAGAATCGTCTGATCTAATCTGGCTAGCGATTGCAGTAGATGTTGAGCACGGCGTTCCCACACGTGATCTGGTGCGGATGCATGATCGAGCGCCTTCAGCTAAGTGAGTCCATTGAAATATGTGGTCAGTATCCAATGTCGAAAACTTACAGAGATATTTGTTTTTGGGATTTATTTACCGCTAAAAGTGTTTTGGGGTTTATTTACTACTACAAGTGCTTATGTGCATGATTACATAAGTGGCTAGCGACTGTAAGTGGTTGTGTTTTGATTCAGGTCTATACGTTTGACCTAATTTTATTAACATAACTTGCTAGTCAGAAATTTACTTTTGAAATAAGCGTTAAAACACTCACTTTTAAGTCTTAACGGATTCCAAGAAATGTTAAGCTTCCGAACATTGTGACTCAGTTTTGATAGTTGCTCACATTACAAACATATTTAACTTCAGGATTTCCGTCCACTGATTGAGATTTGAACATGATTTTGGGACAGCATTTAACTGACGATGACAGCGTTACACTAACACACTAGTTTGAAGTCGATATGTTGCACAACATACCTTGCCAGCAACTGGAATTTTAGATGGGTTATCAAGCAATTCAAATTCGGATCCTCTATCAGTTGTTTTTGTGACAGGTGCACCAAAAGTGGCAATACAGTCTTAAATAAAGGCCTTCACTACTGTCTCGACTGTAAGTCCCATGAATGGTACGGTTAGTAAAAGCTTCGTAAATTTGTCTTTGTATGTATATGAGTAATTATCTCAATTGTAATTCTATGAGCGACCGACCGAACCAACAGAAACGCGAACTAAACATGTATGCGGTGAAGAGCAAACTCATAAGTAAATTCGTATCGTACTTTAACTTTTTCTATTAATGAGCATATATGTGCAAATATCTATGTTGAGCTTGCCACATATATCTAGTACTTATCAGTTTGATAGCAGATTTCGTGTCAAGATGAGAGAAAGTATGAAAAAGTGACGAGACGTACATCTGGTTGTACCATAAATTTTCAGGTCATAATAGCTGTTTCGGTTTGAGACTGGATTTATTTGTAGATATGAGTTAACACAACTATCAATCTTCTCCCTCGTTGCATCCCAGCTTCATAAGATTTATGGTTAGTTACGGAGTTCTATTAATTCAAGTCAAAGTAACGAATCTGGTGTTTAATTAATTTTGCCGTTGACCTATGGAATAACACTGATATCACGGATCTCTCGAGGTGGATGACTTTGAACCCTGACCAAGAATGTATTTTCCGGCAGTTTATGATCTGTGAACTCCTCGCCTATCAACATCTGTCATAAATGTTTAATGTCCGCATTAATCCAGAAAAGTGTACGTTCAAAACGGTATGCTGTGCTTCTGCTGAAGTAATTCACTGAGGGAAAGAACGACAGTCACCTAGCAGTTTGAACTAGCTGATTAGAAACATGAGTCAAATTGAAAAATTCTGGCTTTTCAGTCAACGCATTGGTCGATGGTTGCATTTGTTGTGCACGAACGGATATGGATTGATGACTGGAGTTGATTTGACATTAAAATTAAAGTAGTACCTGCAAAACTGTCCAGTATGTCTGAACTCTCGTGAACTGCCATGAAGTTTAACATTTCTCACTGACTGTTTGTGTTTGATTCTTTTTGAGAAACTTTACGTAATATACGGAAAACACCGATTGAGACGCTAAATAAGAAGAAATTGGTTCAGCGGAAAGTTCTCTTTGACTAAAATACACAAATCTGTCCTACCTCTCAAATCAATTCTTGAACTGTCCAGATCCCCTTAGCATTCCATAACAAAGTGGCTGTCAGAACTCTTAGAACCCGTAAGAAAACTCATTTTTAGACAGTACGTACATTCTACTTTTGAATTCATTGAATACTTAAGAGAAGTAAATGTAAATGACCCAATTATGCTATCTCTGGATGTTGAATCACTATTCACTAATATTCCTCTCACAGAGATCATCAAATTTATCTGCAATTACATAAATAATAATGAAATTAACACCGGAATATCAGAAGCTTATTTGAAAGAACTACTACTACGTTGCACTTGCAACGTACAATCCATATTCAACAACGTAATTCACATGAAAAGGATGGGATACCGATGGGATCCCCTTTTGGTCCATT